AAATCCTTTAAAACATGTATAAAACGTTCATCCAGCATAGACAGCAAGTATTCAGATAATATGCACACATAGCACGTAGTTTATATAAAATACTTCATATCTATGTGTAAGATGAAAGGGACTATGCACTCACAACACGTAAATTATATAATAAATACTTCATATCTATGTGTAAGATGAAAGGGACCATGCACTCACAACACGTAAATTATATAATAAATACTTCATATCTATGTGTAAGATGAAAGGGACCATGCACTCACCTGAGAAGGTGGTGACTCGGTACTCGGACAACGCTTCGTTTACTTTAAAATAATTTCCTTCGACGAAACCTAGTATTATCACCAATAGATTTTAGTCTATTATTCGCCGAGACTAATTAATAGTCTAGCTATTATTACTATTATATAAGCGTTAAAAAAATACTTATATAACCCATAATAATAGCCCAAGTATTTATTATATGTTCTTAATAACGTTCATATAATTAAATAAAAACTATATTAAAAATAGCGTAGACGTAGCTCACTTACAGCGGGTTTTATAGAAAACCAGGCTTTGCTTGGAGCAGCGTTTCCGAGCCGAAAAGCTCTTCTTCTCGGAGCCGTCGAGCACTCCGGGGCTTCCGCCTCGTGCTAGGGAGGTTCCCTAGGCTTTTTGGGGGATTTCGGGGCTAGAGAGAGGTTCTAGAGAGAGAGTAAAGAGAAGAAAGAATGGAAAAGGTGTGAAGAAAATGAGGGTGGGAGAGGTGGTATTTATAGGGTGAAAATGGCTGAACTTGGTGCCACATGTCACCATCTAGTGGCAAGACTTGGGGAGAAAGCAATGGCCAAGATTGTGCCACATCACCCATTTTCGCACAACACACTTCCGACTTCTAAAATCCGTAACTTTCACATACGACCTCCGTTTTTGACGTTCTTTATATCCACCCGTAGGTAAAAATAATATCTACAACTTTCATTTTGACTCCGTCGGCTAATTCTCGACCGATCTTAAATTTAACAGTACGAGGCGTTTAGACTGTTAAATGACCGCGAAGAATTCGTAACTCCTTCATACGGACTCCGTTTTCGTCTGTCTTTTTACCGTTGAGTTCCTATTAATGATATCTTCAAATCTCATTTATTTCACGTAAGCCAAAAACCGCTCGAACTAAAATTCGAGTTTCGGGCTGTACACTACTAAGCCGAATCTTAGAAAAATCATAACTTCCTCATACGAAGTCAGATTTGGGCGTTCTTTTTATCGACGCTCTTAGTTTAACATATTATACGACTTTTGTTTAGATTGCTAAGGCTAAAAAGTCTTCTATCGTAAATTCACTATTTACGTCTTCCGGTGCTGTGCCGGTTTTGCCGTAAAACTTCGGCGGGCCATAACTTCTTCGTTATAACTCGGATTTCGGCGTTCTTTATATGTACGGAAACCTTGTGACATATTCTAAAACTTGGTTAAGACTATTCATTCTAAATAATCTTTTGTCGAAAAGTCATTTTTGACCCCTATTGCCTCTAAATTGACTAGCCCGGATCTGCGGGCGTTACAGAACCTGCGACCTGAAGTAGTGTGTTGGAATCCATGGTTGGTGTTGAATAATGATTATTGATTACCTGATGAAATTATAAACTCATAATGATTGATTCAAATGACTGAATGAGTAATCGGCTATAAACCCTTCACCCTCACTGTTGTATGCAATTAGCTTCTGTTCTGCTGCGATTTGTGAGATGCTGCCTTGCCCTTCTCGCGTAGGGACTACGATCACAGTACTTGGATTTACATTTGGGCTGAAAACTGAATATAATAAAAAAAGAAAAAAGTTGGGCCCCTCGAAAAGATAGGCCCTGTGCACATGCCCACATTGCATATGCTCATCACCGGCCATGATAAATATTAACAAAATTAAAATTTCGTTATCTTTTAAGCCACTATTTCCAATCAAAATGTAAATATTAGGACTTTATGTATCAAAATGTAAATAGGCCATGCTATATATATTTGGTAATTTGATCAAAACATCTACTACTCTAATAAATGATGGTTTTTTGTCACATGTCCTCTTCTTATTCATTTGGACACATGTCATTTTGTAGAATTTTTAAATTTTTTTATTTTCCACTTGTCATTTTATTGTATTTTTCATTTTATTAAATTAAAATTCCACATTTAATATGTAAGGTAATATATATGTAAGTTATTTATTAAAAATGATGTATATATGTAATGTATTCAATACATTAAAGCCTCATTAATTTTAATAATTTAAAAAATTTCTCATTTTTCTTACAAATTCAAAAATTTTAAATTGTTAAAATTTCATATTTATTTTATTTTTAAATAAACCCATGTAATACATGGGCCTCACACCTAGTATACAATAATTGATGTAATCATGGAAATACGACTTTACAAAGCAAATATGAATTTCTCAAATTTTATAATAATTTATTTTGCAACCATAATATAATAATTATATTGACCGTGACAATAAAAAAATTACTTGAAAAGGTAATAATACATAAAAATAGAAAATTATATATATATATATATATATATATATATATATATATTATATATATATAGATAGAGAGAGAGAGAGATATGAGGGTTCAATTGAAAAAAAAAAGGTTGAGAATAAAAGAATTATTCCCAGCAACACATTTATTTTGCTGCAAAAAACTTAGACATATCAGCGAAATGGGTAACGGATATACATGTGTTTTCCAACAAAACATGTTTCCTTAAAGTATGTTAATCATTACCTTCATATATACAAAAACATGTTTTTTTTAGAATGTTATTTTTATCAAAAATTTATTTTAATTATATCTAAATTCATAATTTCTTATTTTCTATAAATAGATATCTATGTTATATAGTTTTGAGATAAAATTAAGTTTCATCTATCGTTATTCATAAGTGAATAAAAACGCATCAAGTTTTTATTAGAATACCGTAAGTCCCCAAAATTGTTTGTGTATCAATCCGATCCAACTGATGGTGCGGAATCCCAATCAATTGGATGATGTCAGATCAAATAGAAGAGAAGAAGAATTAAGATGAATCTAATGATGTATTGATGATATGAATTATGCTCCTTACAATAGATTCTCTCTCATACACACTTCTTCTCTCTTCTCTAGCCTTCCACTCCTCTACTCATTACATCTATTTATATGGACCTCCAACCATACACATGTGTACAGCCGTACACACAAACCGCAAACACATACAACATTACATAAAAATATATTTTTCTAGAAAAGCAAAGTATAAACCATATTTTTGACCCAACAAATACATTCGTTATTCACTTATAAATAAAACGTATGCTTAACTTTTTTTACAGTTTAAGTATCGTTTATATATGAATATAACATGTTATAAAGTTTTCTTAAATGAAATATATCTTTTTACATTATCTTTCGTTGCATGTTATATTTATATATGAATAAAACGTGTATTAGTTATCATCATATGTTATATTCAAATATTAGTAAAACATGTATAAGATTTTTGTTAAAGTTCATTTGTTATTTATATATAAACTAGAGAAGGATCCCCGCTTTGTGGGGGTTGGATTCTGCTTGTAGTATTTTTAATTCAGTGACGTAGTTAGGAAAAATAGAAAATTATATTGCTCTTCTTTCACATTAACCAAAACGATGTTAATTATAAAATTGGTTGTGTTGTAACAGAAAAGATGAAAGTAGTGTAATAGAATGTACATTGCTATTTATGGAAATATGTGATTGATACAAATCAAATCAGCAATTTAAGGCATATTCATCCTTCCATTAAATTATGTTTTAAATGAATAATACTTATATTGGAATATGTAAACATAAGGATACATTACATTACATAATTACTTTAAGGGTAAGATCATTGAACTTTAACAAATTGAAAACACTCAGAATAAAATACATTCTTAGTTATTGGTTTGATGAAGAAAGAATAAAATGCGCAGAGAAAGTCCAATCATCATCAATCCACCATCACCATACCTGCAAAGAAAAAAAGGAACACAAACTCTTGATTGGATGCATGCAAGTACTTAAAATGACATCTCATAATTCAATTTATTCAAATTATTTGAAGTCAAAGGTAATTATTTATTTGACTGATGGATATGGTGATTGATATGATAAAAAAAAACAAAAATAACAAATAATTATGGAAACTTATAACAAACCTGAATTATTGAAAATTTAGTCTTCAATGCCATTTTTAAGATAACTGTAATTCGCAAGACCTGCAAATTCAGATGATATTAGGGTTCAAAATCAAGATTAAAACAAAAACCATAAAAATGAACTTATGTGTGTGTGTCAAAAGTACTTCTTTCATTTAATGAATTAGAATAATGTGACATACAAACTACCTTCAATTGCTTAGGTAAACGAAAATCCATTATAAACTAAGCAATAAAATTACAATGTTATCTAAAACAACAATAAAAGTTCATTGCACTTGAAGTGAAATCAGTTAAATTGAAAATCTAGAAAAAACGACCAAAATGCCCTTACCTTCAAAATCGCAAGAACTTGTACATTTTGGGAAAACACAGGGACCAATTTTGCAATTTACTCTTATTCAAATTATGTTATGAAGTTCAACATAAACTACCTTTATTATTTATTTTGTGTGAATATTACCTAACGTCCACAATTATAATACTTGATATAAATAGGTTATTAAATATTATATTTAATAGAGTAAATTAGAGAAATGGTCCTTATGGTATAGTGAAATTTGCACTTTAAGTCCATGTTTAAAAAATTTAGCACTAACAATCCTCATCCTCATGGTTCCATTTTCTTTGATCCAACATTTCAACCCTTAGTTTTTTAAATATGATCAAATTACCCTTGGACCAAATTTGTTATAGATTTTTTGGATGGCGAATCACGAATTGATTGTAATGTTTACTAAAGTGAAAAAGCATGAGAGGAATTGGAAAATATAAGCAAAAGAATAAAAGAAGATTTGGGTACCATTTCAAGGGCAAAGGCGGTGGGTAAGGCGGCAAGGCGGTTGCCGCCATGGAGTTCACAGGCGGTAACACACACAACTAGTGGTGCTCTTTTTGCTCCTTTTACAAGAACAGAGTAACACATTGATTCATAGATTTGATTAGGGTATTGGACAAGTATACCTTCATCAACCTTCTGATTAATTTCTTCTCTTAGAGTTGACCAATAAGTTTTAAGGTCAAAGTTTGTAGAGATTGATGATGAGATAGTTGAACAACATCTGATCTTTTTTTGAGTTACAAAAAGTCTCTTTGGAAAATGAAGATATGGACATGAACTTATGGCTGTTGCAAACATCATCCCTTCTTTTTTCTATCTTCCTTTTTTTTTTTAAATTGAAGTTCAAATGTTCAATATTGTACATAATCATACATTAAACATCAGGTATCAAGTCTCAAACTCAAATAGTACAATACATGCTTAATCATCAACAACAAAAGATAGCAACATTTGTGCTACAAAATGATGATAATTGGCAAAACTAGGACAAAAGTCAAATATAAATTTTCTGAAACACCTTGTATGCAATGTAAGGTTTATATCACTGATACTCAAATATTTAACATCTACAATTCGTTAATGTCAAAACTCGAAAAGAATCTATCCAAAAAATAAATGAAATCGCAGCAACAATTTGAAAAAAAAAAAAACTTATTTGCTAAGAAAATGATAAGATGACAAAGAAGAAGGTGAAATTGATAATACTTAATGATGCTGAGAAGATGAAATCACATATGAAGGAAAATTCAGAGGTAGACAGGAAAAAAATGAGGCAGTCGTTGAGATGATTGAGGTCACAAACCTGATTTGCTGAAGATAAAAAGGGGTAAGGGTAAAATGGAATTTTATATCTCTTTTGCATCTATATGAATTTAGAGGGGAACCTCCTCAATATTAGAAATCAGTACCAATCAATATGCTAAATTAGATTTAAAATGGGACTCAACAATCAATCATTCCATTATGTTGATGAGAAGATATACAATTGAAACTTGAGAAAAAAAGGGGAAAATAAATAAACAATAATAGTCAACTTAACTCACATGCAGTTGCTGCTTGTGATCTTCTAGTATATCAATTTCAGATTGCACATGCTTTAAGTGCACCATGGATTTAGAAGGAAACATAGAAAAGTAAGTAAGTATGTGAAAGGTTTGAACTTTATAGTCAAACAAAAAATATTGGTAATCAACAGTTAATAATCAAAAAGAAAACCAAACCTGATCATCATGAACATGCTTGATTTGTGAAGACGAGACTTTTATTTCTCTGCCTTGATCACCCCCATGATCTTGTAGGAATTAGGTATTGTTATTTGGTTGTTTTGTGATCATAAATGAATCAACAAACGTTCTTGATGTTCTTATTATGTGAGAGTCCTCAAATGAAAACATAAGGAATTTTATTTCTCTGATGCATTTCAGTAAACATATAGAGTGCAACATATATGCATTTTAGAAAACACATGAAATTAAACATCTAATTGAAGTTTTCCATCACCATATTATGTACAATTAGGTTTTGAATATGGTTAGACGGTGCTATGTATAAGAAGAACGAATTAAGATACAAACCTGGATAGCCATTAGGACCGACCATCATCGACGTTGATGTAATGACTCTTGCCTTTTGTCTCCCCCCAAACGAAATTACCTGATGGCAGTTTAGAAGGGTTGATACGGTAGGCCGATTCTCGATCTTGATATTTTAAGAAGCTTTAATTGATTTAGAATCTAGGAGAAAACATGAAAGAAATGGTGTAGCACCTAGTCCCCGGTACGTACTTCTTGATAATTATTTTCTTAATATTTATATATATTGCCTTGGACTCGGCGAGTTAATGGGCCAACTCGTCGAGTAGGAGTGGGTCAAGGAGCGGGATTTGGACTTTGGACTCGGTGAGTCGGTCCCCAGACTCGATAAGTAGGCCCTGGTTGGGCAAAAACCCTAATCCGGGTGTTTACACCTATTTAAACACTCTACCTTGGCCTCCTTGTCCCTAACACTTCCAGAGAGCATTAGAGTGAGACCCTAGCCCCCTTATTGATCTGGAGAGAGTTTTTGGCCTTGTGAAGGAGATTGGAGCTTAGAAGGAGAAAAAGGTGGTTGAAGAGTGCAAGGAAAGGAGTAGATCCGAACTCTACGTAGGGAGAAGCTTCCATTCAGGTAGAAAATTCTCTACCTTGATCTTTAGATCATTAGTTGCCATTTTTGTCCCAAAATTGGTGGTTTTCAAGCCCTAGATCACCAAGCTCCATGTGTGGTGCTTAATGATCTGAAAGGACTTCTGATATGGACTTATTGGATGAATTAGTAGCATAAAGCTCTTGTGGTTGAAGTGATTAAGGTCCCCATTGAGTCTATGACCTCTTGAAGAGCTTGGTTTTGGCCTTTTTAGCTTATAGGGCCATGCATGCACGTAAAGTTTGCAACTTTACGTGATAAGCAAGCTCAAGGGACATGGATCTATGGTTTTGAAGCGTTGCATGTCTCATATTTGGCCTATATGGGAAATGGGTCATAGGGACTCGGCGAGTCCCAAGGAGGAACTCGGTGAGTTCCATGAAGATGGCCTTAGACTCGGCGAGTTGGATGAACAACTCGGCGAGTCCTATGAAGATTGCCTGGAACTCGGCGAGTTGTTCTTCAAACTCAGCGAGTCGGGTCACGAGTTAGTTCAATCGTCCCAAGTCATGAATGAAGAGTGATTCAGTGAGTGGGAAGAACGCCTGGTTGGGTAGGACCGGGTTACTAGAGAAAGGACTCGGCGAGTCCCAGCCATGACTCGACGAGTTTAGTCAAACGGTCATTGACTTTGACCAAGGGGTTGACCTTGGGCCAAGGGAGGGTCAGTCTTTTGACCCAATGGTATTTATGGGTGTCTAACCTATGTTTATGGTTTATAGCTGGAGGATTTGTGATCCAACAGTTAGATGCCCAGCAAGCAGATTTCAGCAGCTACTTCCGAGGTGAGTTACCTTCTAGTAGCGGTGGGTCTAAGGCCACAATGCCGGCCCACCAGTAGGGGATGTATGATAGATGATTGTCTTTGTGATATCATCTAGGTTTGCTACTACCTGATATGTTATATGCTAGCATGATATGTTGTATGTGATAGTAGCAGTGTTCGGTTGTTAGGACCGAAGGGTAGTTAGACACCCCAGATACGTCTGATAGTATGTGATTATATGTTTTCATGCTGGATTGTTATGTTATGATATATGATAGTAACAGTAGGGGTGAAATAGTCCCCAAGGTTCGGTCGTTAAGACTGAAGGGTAGTCAGCACCCCAGAATGGCTCGACATGGGTAGTCAGCACCCCAGAATGGCTTGACACGGGTAGGTCGGCACCCCAGAATGGCCGTATCGGGTAGGTCGGGCACCCCAGAAATGCCTGGCAATATGTATGATATGTGATTGTATGGTATGTGGTATGATGGGGGAACTCACTAAGCTTCGTGCTTATAGTTTTCAGTTTTGGTTTCAGGTACCTCTTCTTCGAAGGGGAAGGAGCTCGTGCGGTAGCAATACATCACACACACAAGCCTTGTATTCCTCACTATGAGATCTTCCTGGGGATTTGTACTCTGACTTTATTATGTTTTTTTAAACTGGTTTCCAGACAGGCACATCTTTTATGAAATGATATGATCGGTGAATGTTTTATTTTAATGTTTTGCTAAGTATGTGTATTTAAAAATGAAATTTTTGGCTCGTATTTTTGGGGTTTTACAAATGGAGAAGATAGATGAGCCAAGAAGTGTCAGATCTACGATCTTTGTAGGGAAGAAGCTTTGAAGTCCGACCAAGTACCTCCACCCCATCCTTTTTCCTCCAATAAAGGTTACACCGCTCATCACTATCAAACCAATAATCACCAAAGAATGATAATAAATCTTTGTTATTTGCGCTATAGAATATTGAAACATAACTCGATGGTTTTGGATCCCAAACCTTTAATTTGATCATTCCTTAAGCATTCGTTTGCGCCGACCGGCTTGGCGATTCCTTCCGTTTACTCCCCGATCCATTATTGATACGCTGATTTAGAGAAGGAATGAGGTAAAGGGAGAATAGAAGAGAGAAGGTATTTGAGTCGAAGGGGATATACGAAGTCGGTGAAAGTCGGCGAAGGGGGTGGAATGCGTCGGGTTGGGTGTAAGAAGGAACTGGATACAGGATGAGGAGAGGCAGTGGGATATTTGTTGTTAGCATGTAATTGGCAGCAGCCGGAGGTGGGAGCAGGTAACAACACGTAGCACCGAACATTGACAACAGCTACCCACCGCTATACAATATAAAAATGGACAAATAACAAAAAAAAAATGCAAAAAAAGAAAAAAAAACCCACTAATCACAACCAAGTATTGTTCATGGGGGAGTTCTAAATTAGTATATATATATATATATATATATATATATATATATATATATATATATATAAATAGTATGTTAAAAAAGATGATGTGTTTTGAAAATTTGAACTACTTATTCATATAAGAATAACAAATGAATTGTAACAAAATTATGATAAATGTGTTCTTCGTATATTAATATAATTTGTGAGGAAAGTCAATACACATTTTATTTATACGTGAATATAACATGTGACGAGAGTTGATGTAAGCAGTAAAGAGTTTATTATATGTTATATTTATATATGAATAATACTTAATACGTACAAAAAAAAATTAATCATATTTTTTATTCATACATGAATAACGAATATACTGTACTAAAAATCAGATGTATTTTTATTCACTTGTTAATAACGATAGCTGGAAATATAAAAAAAAATTATTTTATCTTAAAATTATATCAATATAAATGTCTATTTGTAGAGAATAAAAAATCATGAATTTTGGTATATTTAAAATTATTTTTCGATAAAAATAGTTATTTAAAAATTAAAAAAAAGGAAAAAAAATTTTTTTTGTATATATTAAGTTAATGATTAGCATAGTTTAAGGAAAAATGTTTTGTTGGAAGATACATGTGTATTCCTTTCCCAATTCCGCTGGTACGACGGAGGCTTTTACGGTAAAAATAAATGAGTGGCTGAGAATAATTATCTCATTCTCAACATTTTTTATTTTCTCAATTGAACTTGTATATATATATATATATATAT